TTGTTGGAATCAAAATTGAAATATAAATTTGGATAGTAAAGTGGTATTTTAAAAGTTTATGGGTGAGAAAGTGTCATTAAACTATTATTTGGGTGGAAAAAGTTGTTTACTCTTCAATTAATAGAATTTATGCGAAACAATAAATGTGCAAATAATTAATAATTACATGATACTTTTTTTTTTTGGTATGGTAATTACTGATACGTTTTTGGCTTTTCATGAAATTAATTTAAATGAAGTAACCTAGCAAAATTACATGCATTGCTTTTGCTGAAATTGGAAACTTGGAATCAATTTTTGATGCTTAAATTAGATCGAATTAGATAACCATGTACGATTATACCTCGTGCCTCTATTGGCAGCCCTTCCTTCTACTGTTTTAGCTTCAAATCTATCTACAATTTGGATGTTCTTCGTCAGCCATATATCTTCAGAATTTAAGAGCCCATCCTTATTTTAATAAGAGTACACCAACACAATATGTCAATAACAGACCATTAATTCTAAATGGAAAATATAATTTGCAGATTGACTTATCTGTTTACTCAGATTTATTTTAATATATATAACTAGGAAAATGCTTGTACTCTTGTCTACTGAGATTTATGGCCGGCAAAAGTACTAATTTTATTTATAAGGATGGGTACATCTTGTATTAGAATTACCAACTGCTGTTGTCATAAAGACAATATTTGACTGACATATTGACTAAAAATATAGCGGTTTCTTTCAGATCGCTGGGGACAAAAAAGTTCAGTATGCATGACACTATTGCTACTAGTGGAAAGTCTGCAGCCTGCTGTTTCTGGTGCTCTATATATATATAAGAGAGGCTATTAGGGAAGTTGCCCCTTTATTTTGTAAGTGGCCTAATTTTTCAACTCTCATATTATCACAACTTGCAATAAAACTTGTAAGTATTTTTATCAACTTATGAATTCTGTGTGGCTACATTAAATTTTGATGTTAGGACATCACAGTGTTTATGGGCAATTGTTTTTGTAGCTTTTTGTTGCCATGACAATCAATGTTAGTGTCGAGACAATCGCCTAGTCAATTTTTTCTTACAAATGTCGTGTCTTCATTAGATATTTGGATATTCTCCAGACCAAAGATATGTGAGAGTGGTCCACGTACACATGTCAATAAAATTCGTTTAGCTTTTCAAAGATGGTCTAAGAAAGTAGGTGAAAACTTTCCCAAAATAACTAAACATGTAAGAAATTGTCGGCTGGTTGTCTAGTGCATTGTTGAGCAAGTTTTCTTTGTATTCGTCTTCAACCTTGTGTTATCTTTTGAGCCTTAATATACCTCTGATTTTTCTTTGAATATCATTTGAGGTTTTCTTTATTTTTAATCAGGTTCTATATGCTTTGGTAAGCTTTGAAATACCTTGTTAACCTTTGTTGTTAGTGTTGTTGGAACAAGTTTCCTTTGATGATGCTTGATGGGATTTCGAGCTGTTGGAGTTGAAGGGTGTCTTCGACATTGAACCTTGAGTTGAGCTCAAGGTTGTCCAGGTTGTTTCCTGGTGTAAAGCTAGTTGTGGTAGAACGAAGTTCAACCAGAGGGTAAAGTTTGAAGTGTTATCATAACAAAGAGTGTTTTACAACTGGTGCTTTACTTTGGCTTTGTAATTGAGTTATAAATGTTTATCATACTAGATTAGCTTCGTCTGTACTTGGTCCCATGGATGTAGGCAGTTGGCCAAACCATATAAAATTGATTTGTGTGCTTTACATTACGTCATGGATGTTTAGATTATGTTGATGATGAATGAACAAACCCATAAACACAAATGAACATGTTTAACCCATTCCACTTAAGTTTAATGAACTTGGTAAAGTCATAAAACTTTCAGAACTAGAGACATTCAAGTGACTTGGTCTCTTTTGTTAATAATCTGCAACTTTTTTATTTTTAAGAAGATATTTCCTTCTTCTTTTCTTTGGTTATGAAACTATTCCTTGATATCTCTGAAGGATTTGTTATAAAATATATAACCTAACCTTGAAATTGGGAAAGGTTCATTGGTTAAGAAGTTAGAAGGTTTTGCCAATTCACAATTTACAAGGCCAATTGCAACATTAGAGTAGCCACAATTGACATATAATTGGTCTTTGACATGATCTAACCCCGACCCTCCTTATTCCATAGGCTCAGGGTGCACCCATGAGACTTGGGTGATCGAGACGTGTCATGTGGGAAAAGCTGAAAAGTATAAAACCTATTTTTCTGAATAACATCATGAAACATTTCTCATAATTTTCATAACAAACACTCATAAACATATCTTTTACAAATCCAATAGGAACATATGGTATCGGTTTCAGCATCGCTCGGGCCGAATATCATAATCTATCATGCCCAACGAAATTCACATCGTTCGGGCAAAGCACTGTAACTAATCATCGCATGCGCAAAGCCAAACTGAATATGAGGGGGATGAGTATTACGTAGGGTGGTTTGAAAACCACTATCATCATAAACATGCTTTCCAAACATCATTTATCACAAAACTCATGCCATTTCTCAAGTTGGAAACATATATAGTAACATTAAAATATACATGTAACACAAGGGTAAAAATAAAGGTTTCCAAACAAGTTTTCAAACTGACAATTTAACCCATTTTAGCATCATTGTCAAACACTTGTCCAAAAACATCAAAGTTCATCTTCCACATGTAAATAAACATTTATTCATCAATAATATGCAATAAACCTCATTTTTATAGAGAAATCAAACAATTTGGGCAATTTAAAACAATAGGCATGCTTAACTAAAACATTAGAGAGAATTTTATTAACATGAAAGTTAGGGTTTTATTTGAGCTAATTTTGAAAAAAATTAACTTAAAACGCTAAGGTAGAAGAATAGAGAGGTAAGGATGGGAAATTACCCAATTCTAAAGCTTACCTACAAAAAATAAAAGTCGAATTTAACTTTCCTAATGCTTTTTCGACCGATGTACACCTTTTCCTCCTCTATTTTCTTATTCTTCTTCTTCTTCTTCTTTTCTCTTTCTTTTTCCTTGTTATAGTTAGCTTCAATTGGATATAAAGTGAGCGCCCAGCAAATATCACTTTCCCCCTCAATTTTTGTATAATCTCTTGTACCCTTAATACATTAGCATTTGACCAGTACAACCTCTATATTTGTCATCCTTTTAAAACAATCCACATAATATGCATCTTTTCACAAAGCTCCCTTGCCTAGCACTTTTAAAACTGACATTTCCACCCCCTTTTGTCAATCTTGGAATGCCCGTTCCAAGTTGAGGAATGCCAGTTCCAATCTCCAGGCAAGTCCTTTCTAGCATAAACGACACTATTCTCTAGGTCGTTCATTGTTTTGTTCAAAATTACAGCTTTTGATGACTTGGGTAGGAATGCCCGTTCCATCATGAGGAATGCCTAATCCTCAAATCAATCAAGTTGTTCCATAAGGAATGACCCCGTTCTTGTGCTCGTTCACTCTTTTGGAATTTTTGGGGACTTTTAGGGCAAGCTGTTCCAATACGAACGACCAGTTCCCACGCTCATTCTGAGACGTGGAACGTTTGTTCCTCTTCACGGAACGGTTGATCGATAATCCATTAATCCCATGTAAAGTACGAACAATCCCCCGAGTGTGTCAGCAAATACCGATAATCCGTTAATCCCATGTAAAGTATGAAACATATCCAACTTAAATAGTACTATATTCATTCATGATACTAACAAATACATGGGGATTAGAGTCTCACTTTTGTACCTTTAAAAGTTGCATCATCGTCTTCCTCTATTAGTATTGCAGTTTATTTTTAACCTTGAAGCCGATAACATGGCTGTTGAAAGATGAACTTGTATTGGTAAAGGAAATGATGGCCACAATCGAAGAGATGGAAGAAGAATGGTTGAAGAGAAAGAAGAAAGAAGCAGACCACCTAGTCATCGCGGTGAGCATTGGAAAAAGCGTAGAATGTGGAGCAAAAAGAGCGATCACCGCGGCAACAGAAAAGGTCATGACAATGAGTGCAAAAACAAAGAAGAGAGGCGTGCGTAAGAGAGGGCGTAAAATGTGAAGAGTTGGACTTAGTTTCTAGTTTTAGAGTTTTAGTTTACTTTAGGAGTTTAAGTTTAAGTTTAATTGTTTGTTTTCCTTTTATGTTGAGTTTAATTAGGAATATGAATTTGAGTTTATGTATTTTTTCCTTTTTTAGTTTTAGTAGAATAAGGAAGTAGTTTTTCATTAGGATTAGAGTTGTGGTCTCTTCCTATAAAAGAGATGAGAAGTCTCCAATGTATGTTGAGTCATTCAGATTAATAAAAGAAGAAGTTTAGTTTTCTCTCTATAGTTCATCACGTTTTTGGGCCATGCAAGTTTGATTTGTCACTCCCAAATTCCAACAGTGGTTGACTAAGTTAGTAAAAGTGGAGTTCATTTAATAAGGCTACAGAAGAGTAATACACACAAAGCAAATAATCCAAACCATATGAGCCATAACCTTATTGTCTTAACTGATAGTCAAGAATAAGACATTGACATAACTTTGCATTCTGTCTTTATTTTTCTAATTTTTCTTAAATTCTTCAATTCCTGATTGCCAATTTTCTATTTTTTCTTTGGCATTATTTCCATTCTTCTGACTTTTGTTAGTGGGGTTGCAGGCCTACAAACTAAAAACTATTTTAGTCATGATCTTCTTTGCCAGTGCTTGGAATTAATTTGTGCAAATGTAGAAATTAGAAGTGGTGAATGGATAAATTAATTGTTAGCAAATAGTACCAAGATTAGATTTGACACTGTTCCATTCTAGAAAAGAATAGGTACAATGTTATTTTGATTGCATGATAATCAATTTGTTAAAAACTGATGGTATGATTGTTGATGAAGCACTTGGGATGATATCTCGGGGTGTTTCTTCAAGGATAAAATCTAAGAAGCTATAGTCTGCTGCAAGTTCCAAGTCCAATAAACCCTCAAAAACCTTTACCAACATTGATGCGGAAGGCCTTTTATAAAAGTTTTTTTTGCAAGCATGAAATGGCAATTCGGATCATCCTTACAACATCTTCTTTGCTGTTTTGCATGTCCTCACTTTGTTCATCAATTAAATCAAAAGGTTGATTTTCTTCTGCCTTGATCTTCAGAGTATCAATTAGATAATCACCGTGCCAGGAGTCAGAACTTTTTCTTCCACAAATGATTTCCAACATCACAACTCCAAAACTGTAAATATCAATCTTCACTGTGATATTTCTTCCCCCTATCAATTTAAGAGCCATGTATCCCGACGTTCCCTTTGGCATAGTCATCACATGGGTGTGATCCTTATCAATCAATCTAGCTAACCCAAAATCAGAAATCTTGACATTCAAATCTATGTCCAGGAGGATGTTTTGAGGTTTGATGTCAAAGTGAATGATGTTTGGATTGCAATAGTCATGCAAATACTCTAGTCCCTTTGCTATCTGAACTATGATTTTCTTTCTTGTTTCCCAAGTGAGAGTTTGTGCGTGGTTTCGGTGGAAAATCCATTTATCTAATGAACCATTAAACATGTACTGATAGACCAAAAGTCTATTTGATCTTTGAGCACAATAACCAACAAGTCTTACCAGATTAAAATGGTGAATGTTGCCTATTGTCTCAACTTCTAATAGGATTTCTTTCTTGCCTTGCTTTGCATCTGGTCCTAAGCGTTTCACTACAACTTTAGTACTATTATGCAGGACTCCTTCAAAAACAGATCCAAACCCTCCACGACCAAGCCTAACCTAGAAATTTTGCATTGCAGATCACAGATCTTTGAAGGAAAACTTCCTCAAAATGTTGGTTACATGAAGGGAAGATGAGTCATTGGAGTTGTCTCGTCTTTGCATTTGAAGCACAAATTTTTTCGTCCTCCATCTTTTGTAGCAATAGCATGCTCCAATAGATAAAACTAGGAAAGCAGAAACAAGCAATACCATTAATAAAACCAGAGGCAGTTTCTGTTCTTTCGAGGGTGTTTTTGCCATGATATTTGATTGCATTTGTACCTTGATGAATGCTAATGCATTGTCATTAAAAACCACTCCCGTATTATTCCTCAGAGAATAAAGTTCCATTCCTAAAGAACAGTTACCAATTTTAAGGTTGCTTTTGTATTGGATCAAGGCAGCTTTGCAGGAATAATCATTCAGGCATGCCATTTTGCAGCTCTCTACATCTATATCAACAAACTGGGAGACAAATCTAAAGTAAGAAACATTTTCAAGCTTCAAAAAGTTGTGAAGAGTTATGTTTTGGCATGACAACGGCACATCCTATGCACATGAAAACTCATTTGCGGTAGCATTCAATTGCTTAGAGTATCTTGAATCTCCTGGACAACTGCATTTATCCTGAGAGCAGACCCTGTAATTGCCACAATATGTGGGTAGATACACTCCCCATATAGTTTTTGTATAGAGAGATCGAAAATCTCCAGCTTCCCATTGGTAATTCGATAGATATTGAATTGGCCTTTCGGTTCCGGCCTCAAGAACAGGGAGTGGTTCCTTGTTGCTGTGTACTGCACACCTTCCTCTTTGAAAGAGAATTTTAAGAGGTCTATGCCGAATGAATTGTTTTTCTCCATTTTGAATATCTAGAGTCCGATATTTTTGTGGAGAACTAAGATTAAAGTAAAAACCAATATTCTTATACGATAACTGAAGGGAGAACTTGCTTGTTGACAGATTGGATACCGAAATGGTAGAAGTCAAATTTTCTTAAACTTCAGGAGTTGTTTCGGTAGCCATGTGTTTGTTGGGTGATCAAAGGACTTCTAGAGCGATTTCCTTCTGGCACCAACAAGTTCCAAACTTCCATTTCCATGTAAATACATCCGTGAAACCTTTTTGCTAGAGGTATTGGTAGACCAAACCTGACGACCATAGACTGTTGGGGGGATTTAATTGAATAATAGTAAATCCTAAATCCTTGAAAGCGAAAATAATGTAAACAAAGGATACAAAATAACCACACACACAAACACAAGATTTACAGTGGTTCACTCTCCGTATGAGAGCTATGTCAACTTTGCTGCTGCAACATTTCACCATGAAGAAGAAGAAATATTGCAAGAATCTCTCATGCCTCAAATTAGGAAAACAATTCTAATCCCATATCCTAATAGGAATTATATTTTAATTCCTAATATAATTATAATCTTATTTCCAATTGTATTACTAGAAGAAAACAATTATACTTAAACACAAATTAGGAAAACCCATGTCCTAATCCAATTCTAATTTGGATTGAATTTGGCTCCGCAATCTCAACATTGACATCTCTCAATATCAAATTTCCAGCTAGTTCAAGAGTGGCATTCTCTTGAACTGGAGAGTTTCCATTGGCAGACCAGATAATAACGAATGGAAGATCAAAGTTTCCGATGGATGAATTGGAGGTTCTTAAGAATTTAACTATCACAAGATATAAGTTTTCATAAGAAGTCGAATTTGTATTTAAGAAACCAAGGCTGAAATTTGGGTAGCCATTTTTGTCAAGTCTAAGAAGGATGGGTCTGAGTTAAGTACCATCAATGAATTGATAACCTCTTTTATTTGGGTTGTTTTCCCATGAAGCATTGGGTTTGGCTGATGTTTGGTTTGTAAGAAAGGCATTTGTAGTATAGTGGTAAAGGAACAGTAGAACTAACAAGAATTTACAATCCATGGAGATTTCTTTCCCTTTACAAGCAATTTACATAGTTATATTTATCTCTATTACCATTAACAAACAAATAGTGTCAGAGGGTTAATATTAGAAAACATCCAAGTGGTTTTAAACATGATGACAAAATTAAAAGTTCTATGTTAGAAATTTTCATGTGTCATATAAATATCAATGTCTTGGAGAGACCTTAAACTAGACCCATAAGGTCACGTGTAAAAAGCTGTTTTAGATTTTGTGTTGTTTGGCTCTTTATATCGTTGATTAAGTTATTTAGATTTAGTACCTAGGAAAGTGCTTGGACTTGTCTACTAAGATTTGTAAAACCTTAAAAGAGAAGTGGAGAGTTCTGGAGAGAATTTCAAAGAGTACTCAAGTAACGAGTATTTTCATTTCTTAGGTAAAGAATTACAGATGCAACAGCTCACTTTTATACTTGTAACGAGCTGAAGCAGATGATTGTTTTACAATAATATTCACAAGAGTAAAACGACATTGTGTAAGAGAAAATGAAGGAAAGCAGGGGACAAATTACAAAGAGACCCTATACTTTCATACTAAAGCTGACTGACATTCCCTCGTAAACCAAGCCACGGGTTTAATCAAATACTGACTAACATTCCCCCGTAGACTAAGCCACTAGTTTGTTCCAATAAACAGCTCACGTTTCTTTTACTTGCTTCCTCATTCTTGACATAAAAAAACTCATAAGCATTCTCTGATCTGAACTAATACTTCAAAGCTCATAATCATTTTCTAATCTGAACTGAACTGATCAGAACTAAACTCAAGTTTTAGCATAAAGTCTGCAAATATGCAGACTACATAGTGAATCACTATTGCAGTGTGAAAAACTTGTGATACGATTGGTAGTAAGAGGTGTTCTAAGATCAGTGAGTTGATCTTGACGTCAATTTCAAAGTCGACATCAATTTCAATTGTTGATTAAGATTTCAGATCAATGTACTGTGCCTGATACTAACTTCAAGAGTTGAGTAAGTTCTCAAAACAAGCAAAACTGAGCAAACCAGTGAACTAAAACCAACTGAGCTGATTATAACTTTAACAACTGGTTAAATTCTTGAAACCAGTAAACTGATGCTTAGAGCCATCTCTACAGCAACTGATACCAATTTCAATCATCTACAGCAACTGATACCAACTTCAACAACAGCAACTGATACCCACTTCAACATATACATCAACTGATACCCATTTCAACACTTACAGCAACTGATACCAACTTCAACAACAGCAACTGATACCAACTTCAACATATACAGCAACTGATACTCATTTCAACATTTATAGCAACTGATACCAACTTCAACAATAGCAAGTTCTCAAACCAGCAAATGAAGATCTCTTCAGCAACTAAGTTTTCAATTCTACTGCAACCACTGTTAGCTTACCTTTTAATTCCTGAAACTGAGAAATGGAAAGAGCCTTTGTCAAAACATTAACTATTTGCAACTTAGATGGAACATATTGCACCAGGAGTCTCTTGGCTAACGCTTGATCTCTTATATAGTGTGCATCTATTTCTATATGTTTTGTTCTAGCATAAAATATAGGATTGGATGCTAAAGCTCTTGCACTTACATTATCACACCAAATTATGGGAATAGAGCTTAGTTTCACATCTAATTCAGAGAATAGACTGTCCAACCATGCCAATTCAGTTGCTGTTTGTGCTAAAGCCCTATATTCAACTTCAGTAGATAAGAGTGCAACCACCTTTTGCTTGCGGGAACTCCATTGAACTAGATTAGGACTAAGATACACATAATACCCGCTTGTGGATCTTCTATCATCCAAGTTACTACCCCAATCAGCATCAGCATAGCATTCAACACAAAGAGAGGTGGTTAGTTTGAAGATTAGACCATGGAATTTTGTACCTTGAATGTACCTCAACACACGTTTACAAGCCTGCCATTGAAGTTTTGTTGGAGCTTGAAGGAATTGACTTAGTTTGTTAACCGTAAAACTAATGTCAGGTCTTGTTAATGTCAAGTATTGCAATGCTCCAATGGTGCTTTGATAAAGACTAGGCTCCTTAAACAACTCACTATCTCCAACAAAAAGCTTAGTTCCAACAGCCATGGGAGTTGGGCAAGGATGAGCATCTTGCATTTTTGTCTTGACAAGTAAATCTGCTATGTATTTGGATTGCCTCAAGTGAATTCCTCCATCAGTCCTTGTAGCTTCTAAACCCAAGAAATAGGTAACTGATCCCAAGGTTTTCAACGCAAATTGGTTGTTTAAATCATGAACTAACTTGGTGATGGATGAGTTCTTGGATTCGGTAATCAAGATGTCATCTACATAAATGAGTACATACAAATCTGACTTGCATCCTTGAGAATAAACAAACTAGAATCAGAAACTGAATTTTGGAAACCTTTTTCCAGCAAGGCTTGCTTTAATCTGTCAAACCAGGCCCTTGGAGCTTGTTTGAGGCCATATAATGCTTTGTTAAGCTTGCAATCATGTAAATGGCATGTTGAACTCTCAAACCCAACAGGTTGTTACATGTAAATAGTCTCACTCAATGTGCCATTCAAGAAGGCATTATTGACATCAATTTGTTGTATATCCCAACCATAAGAGACAGCAAGTGTGAAGATAATGCGAATGGTGCAAGGTTTAATAACCGGGCTGAAAGGTTCAAAATAATCTAGCCCGGGGTTTGTTGGAATCCTTTGGTTACCAACCTAGCTTTACATTTTTGCAATGTACCATCAGCATTGAATTTGGTTCTAAAAACCCACTTGTTCCCAACTATGTTCATATCATAAGTTTTAGGAACAAGAGTCCAAGTATTGTTCCTTATAAGTGAATCAAATTCATCTTGCATAGCATTCTTGCAGTCAACATTAGCCAAAGCTTCAGGTATAGTGGCAGGTTCTGGTTGTATGATGGCTGATGATTTGGAGGACATTAGGACTGTTGTTGTTTGACCAGTAGACTTAGCTTGGGTTACCATGGGATGAACATTGAAAGGTTGTTTTTGGTTGTGTTGATCTTGTTGAGTGTGATCAGTTGCTAAGGTTATAGAATCTGGTTGTTGTTGTAGGTTATGACCTGATGTGGTAGGTAATAATGTTGATGGTGGAACTTGAAATTGTGATGGTGTTAAATCAACCACAAGTGGACAAGAGGACAATGTCTCTAGACTGGTTGGATGAGTTTTTAAAGAACTATCTGGTTTACAATTGGTGAAGTCAACCACAATTGAATAATTGTTTTGTGTTTCAGGAACAAAACTGTTTGGGGAGGATTCTGATATGTGAAAACTGGAAGGTTCTTGTGAGTTTTCTGGTTCAGACATTGAATAGGGAAGTGAAGAAAGTGGTAAGGCAGATTTAGTAGACTGGAGTGTGGGTGGATTTTGTGGAGCAGATAAAGAAGGCGGTTAAGAAGTAGTTACATCGTGAGTCTCAAAATTTTGTGAAGAGCAGATGACAGTGTTTGAGGTTTCTAGTTTGTTGAAATTATTATTGCAAGAAGCAGTTACAGGACAACCATGATGCAAGAGAGTTCTTCTACTAGACCTACGATCAGTTGCAAATTGTTCAAAGATAAATGGAAGACTAGGGGCTAGAATTTCAGGACTGGTTAAACTTACTTGTTCAACAGGTGCTACAGGTGAATTTCACTCAAGAGAGTTGGAACCAAAACCTTTATTAAAAGGAAACTCTGACTCATTAAAATGGACATTAGGAGTGATAAACATTTTACCTTCAGAATTGATACACTTATAACCTTTGTGTATAAGACTATAACCAACAAACACACATTTGGAGGAATGAAAACTAAGTTTATGTTTGTTAAAGTCTCTAAGGTAAGGGAAGCAAGTACAGCCAAAGGTTTTAAGAGAGGAGTAAACTGGTTTCGATCCAAACAAGACTTCATACG